CCCTATGGTAAATGAAAGGGTGATCTGTTACTTTTCGTAGGACATCGCCGTCTTAATTTTCATGGGTCGGAGTAAGCGATACAATTATACTCTTGCAACTTGCAAGAATCAAAGCCTGGGAAATATCTAAAGATGAAGAACGTCAACCAGAAGATTGGAATCTAAGCATTTTTATATATACACATATTCTATATAACTCATGCACTGACCGAAAAATTCGTCATTGGGAATTGGGGCAGTGTCGACCCAATTTTATCAATTAACTATTATCATGATACATACTAAAAATATTCCCTGGGTTTCATTAAGGTACCTCACATACAGTTCGACAATCCTGATATTGGTTATATGGGGCTAGGTCAAGTTTTCACCCAATTGCATCTATTTTAGGCATACAAATATGTAGTTATGAGTTAAACATAATTTTCATTGAGATAACTCAAATATTTTTATAGGGAATATGAATTTAAGAAGAATGCTACGTACTAAATTTATCGTATCGAGACTGCTCGGTCGGGTTCAGAGATATGTGATTTCATCATCACTCCCATAAAGCCTTCTCATATTATTTCGGAGGTAAATTATAACGCCTCAAGCGTATTTAGTTATTGATTTGTCCTACTGTTAGTAAGTTTTAACCGTGCCGTTATATAGAGTGAGCGGAGTTATCAGTAGAAGCCCTTGTAAGATACATATTAGATTTCAACTTGTCTCATTATCCAAACTGATATGTTCTAACCGTTAGGTGAACAAAACTGTTATACTCTGTAGAAACAGATTGCAAGAGTATTAAAATAGCATACCTATTTATAAAACATTGTATTAGAACGTAATTTCGAATTAGCTTAAGAATATTTCAATATAAATAGTATATGTTTTATTTACTACACAATATCGAGACTGGCACCCGGTGTTTAATAAATCAATATCTTTAAGAGAGCTAACTCGTTTCTACAGAAAATATCCAAATTGCTAAATATCCACGTAACGGGGCATCTCGACAGGATAAAATTTATACATAGCATACTAACTGTCAAACCTATTGCTATTGCCATTGCCAAATCTATGTATGTGTGGGCATTTGCTTTCATAATATAATCATTTGCGCAAAGGCGTAGGTAGGTTGGACCTGATGTAGCGCATGCTTTGAGCTCTTGAAACATTTATTTTATCATTAGCGAAATGCCATCGGGTAGGTAGCTGATGTAGCGCACGTTTGAGCTCTTGAACTCCTTAAATCTTTTCTGTGGAAAATAAAAAAAGATAAAGATCCTGTTTTTTTTTACGAAATGTATTTCTGGGAAAATAAGAAGTCATATTTTTGGACTACTATAAAATAATTGCGGCATACATTTAATATACCAATTAAAATAATAAAATGAACAATGATATTTTGATTTATGGTGGTGAGTTTGAATTTACATTGATGTGCTGAACACATAGAGAGCGACACGACATGGCAGCACGACAGTTGACTGTAAATGGCGTCGTGAATCCTTCTACATGAACATTTGTAAGAAGGCAGCGATATAATAATGGCCGGCATGTACACAAGACAATACAGCTGTTTATTTTGCATGTACACAATTTCATTGTGGCCATACTAATACCAGGAAAAAAGGGATGTCCAACTTATTCCAGTGTGAGAACGCTTCAAAATTTTTTTTATATCATTTTCCACTATGGCCCGATTGGACAAAACAATAATTTTTAGGCATTTAAATTAAAACACCCAACATTTAGTACGAATTAAAATTATTATATAGTGGTTAATTAATATATAGAGAAACTATTTCGATACCCAATAAAAGGATTTAAAATTTTTAGCTCTCAATCAATACATGTTTTTAATAACTTTCCATTGAAAATAATACTATGATGCTTGACATTACTAAATGTTTCATTAAATGCAAAATTATTTCACAATTTCATTTAATTTTCATTCTTTTACATTTTTTATAAGGGGTCTTGAACAATGCAACAAATTCCTCCGTTTACATATGTTTTTGGTAAGATTTCAATCTGGCCATCGCTTATTTCCAACTTTTGAACTTTGACAACTAATCGAGTTCAGGAGGTTTTGACGTTTAGCAATTGCTTTCTCACTTCCAGTGAGAGAGCTGTTGGACATCTCTTTTTCTCTGCTAATTTGCCGACGACAGTAGAGTTGACAGTAGAGAGGAGTGATGCCACTTATATGTGAAATGTAAAATTGTTCACAGCTTTACAAACCTGACATTATTTTACAAAGAGAAGCATAAAATAGCTCTGTTACATCATTTATAATAACAATAGATAATTTAAAACAAATAAATTTACCTATTTACTTATTGTTTGCCAGAAAAATTTTAATTTTAACATTATTTTACAAATAAAAGCGTAAAATAGCTCTGTCACATCATTTATAATAACAATTGATAATTTAAAACAAATAAATTTACCTATTTACTTATTGTTTGCCTGAAAAATTTTAATTTGAACAAAATATTAAAATTTCATTAAAGTGAAAGGTGTCAGTAGGGCAACAACTTAATTGTGTACACACAAAATGGAGAGTTGTGTTGTTTTCTGCACATGTCGGCCATTGTTAAGTCGCTGCTTTCTTACAAATGTTCATGTAGTAAGATTCACGACGCCATTTACGTAGTTCACTGTCGTGCTGTCATGTCGTGTCGCTTTCTATGTGTTCAGTGAAGGAAACAGCAACATTGCACAAGGGAAAACAATAACAACTACGTTGTCACTACGGAAGGGCGGCACGTCGGTGACTATTTGAAGCATAAAGGACGTTGACAGCGATGACGAAACATCTTTGTGATATTAACATCAGTGGTGATAAAAGGCATTATTCATTCTGATGTGCTGAACACAATGCTCGCGACAGACTGCAGCAGCACGACAGTCAACTGAAAATGGCGTTGTGAATCCTACTACAAGATCGTTTGTGAGAGGGCAGCAACATAACAATGGCCGGCAAGTACACAAAACAGCGCAGAAGCATTATACACATCTAGATGTGTATAAGAGACAGCACTTCCAGTGAGAGAGCTGTTGGACATCTCTTTTTCTCTGCTAATTTGCCGACGACAGTAGAGTTGACAGTAGAGAGGAGTGATGCCACTTATATGTGAAATGTAAAATTGTTCACAGCTTTACAAACCTGACATTATTTTACAAAGAGAAGCATAAAATAGCTCTGTTACATCATTTATAATAACAATAGATAATTTAAAACAAATAAATTTACCTATTTACTTATTGTTTGCCAGAAAAATTTTAATTTTAACATTATTTTACAAATAAAAGCGTAAAATAGCTCTGTCACATCATTTATAATAACAATTGATCTGTCTCTTATACACATCTAGATGTGTATAAGAGACAGGGATTCGATAACGCCTGAAATCTCGATCACTTTATCATGCGAGAGTATAAAATGTTCGGTGACACCCGAACTTAGGCCTTCCTTACTTGTTTTGTATAAGAATGTTCTTCATATTGTAGAGTAGATTGAAAAATGTTTAAGTAATGTAAACACTTTTATTAACAGATTTTTTTCTATCCCCGATGATAACAGCGTTCTTCATTATGGATATTGAAAATGTAGAATGTCAAAATGTTTAATTTTAGCAATTGTTTGGTATGAGAAAGTTGGTTGATATAGCTTTATAGTTTGTTAGATATGCACATTAAACTTGTTTTAGGTCGGGTTCGCACCCATTTTTTACAGGTTAGAAAACAAAAGTGTCTCACTTAGTACGATTCATTGTTCCAGATTACAGCATTGTCTATTAATTTACGATTTAGTTATGGCAATTTATACGCTTTCGATTAAATGTATTTTGTAAGTGATTCTTACAAATTAAAAACTTTTCAACTGCAGATGGGCCTCCAAACTTTGATGTCTTGTACCAAATTACAGTGTTTGTTTCCAGTCATATGGAATATAACTGATCTCATCATCCTGATCTTTTATATACAATATGGAATATAACTCATCTCGTCATCCTGATCTTTTATATATGTATGTATATGTATATCCGAGTACATGACGGTTCCCTTTAACCTAGGTACAGTTAGGAGAAGAAAACAATTATACTCTATTATTTTGGCAAAAACAAAAAAAATTTTTTTGAGGGTTTTACTATAAAAAATAATTTTTTTGTGTCAGTTTTTCTTATGACCTTTTAAATTTTTTCCTTATCTTGATGTTTTTTCGCTTGGTTGTAAGTAATTTTTTGGTTTTTTTTTTTTTTTTGGTTTTGCCAAAATGTTACAACTAAGCGAAAAAGCATCAAGATAAGGAAAAAATTTAAACATTAAACGACAGTAGAGTTGACAGTAGAAACACTGTGGAACATTTTTTTTTTGTTTTCGCCAAAATGTTACAACTAAACGAAAAAATTTAAAAGGTCATAAAAAAAACTGACACATACGAACGCCAAGCCCTTTGAGGCTTTACTATACTGACCTAGTACCATCACCCTGACTTGGAATTTCTCACCCCCCACATTAGCTGTTGTACTGTGTGAACAAAATATTAAAAATTCATTGAAGTGCAAGGTATTAGTATGGTCACAACGAAATTGTGAACATGCAAAATGGACAACTGCGTAGTTTTGTGACCATGCCGGCCATTGTTATGTTGCTGCCCTCTCACAAACGTTCATGTAGTAGGATTCACAACGCCATTTTCAGTTCACTATCGTGCTGATGTCGCGAGCATTGTGTTCCGCACATAAAGACGTAACTAACAGAAAGGGAAATAAAGATAAATAAGTGGAAACGATAACAGTATATGAAAATAATGGGTATATCATGCTATGGCTACGAAGTTAGCAGTGACGACAATTACGTCCAAAGCAGATGCGGCAAAAATACCACCGATAACATTACAATAGCAACAACGGATCTATTTACATTACCAGTTGCTTTTTCCCCAGCAATAGCGATTGCGTGTCGCCGGTATGTCATTTGCAGTTCCTCCATTGCTCCAAAAGTTCCCATCCTCATTGCCGCGCTTTATGGTTAGTATGCCACTACCAGTCTGTTGGTTAAGTCAGACAAGCCCGAGTGATCGTTTAGTGTTCGTACGGTTTTGAATATTGAAAAACTTGTTTGGGATGTAATTTTCGGCTTCGGACACGTACATATAATATCATTGTGATTTTATGGCATTTTTTCATTGTTGTGTTTGCTTTAGGTATTTTATATAAATAAATACTCACAGTAACATTATAAATGAAAATGAAAAAAAAAAATATGTACTGCGGTCAAATGTAAAGAATGAATATATCATGTACTAAAATTCAGAGAACAAATTATTAAAAACATACATATGTTACAATGTACATATTTATATTAGTACATTCCTCGCATTACAATACTGTCGCAAACTCTTAAATGTAAATTTGTGGGAATAAAAAAGGTGAGCATGAATGTACATACACACATACTAAGAGATACATATGTATGTACGTATATAATCAATAGGATTGGTTTACATCAATTCAATGATGGGAGGAATATAAAGCTGCACACTATATTTTGCATAAGTGATCAACATGACTTGAGCCTACAAGTATTTAGCATAGAGCATCACTTGATTTATCGTGGAAATCACTAGTAATAGTTTAATATACAATAATGAATATTGCTGTTTAACATAGACGAACGTTTTTAGAAAACATTTAATTTTATTTTTAAGAAAAACCCAATATGAATAAGACCTTAAATGTAACTAAAGCTGAAACTACACAACTTGCGTAAGCGTACATAGTAATACGCTAAGCTGAATTATTTCTACTTATGTGCAGGAGTGCGTATATCCAACAAAGCAACACAACAAACGATAAAAACTGTCAACGTAATCAAACTCACGCTATGGTGTTCTTTGAATTTTATTTAGCGCAATGCTACGATTAAGGTTTATTCACACACAACTTTTGCTTGGCTTCGTTTCAGACGTGTGCTTTGATACACTATGCTTTTGAATGAATTCGTTCAAATCGAGGCAAAGTAAAGCAAAGCAACTTTCACAATTTTACGCTTTGACAAGAAAAAGTAGGCATTTTTATTCGAGAGAAACATGGACTGTAAAGTTTTCATTTCAAAGCGAGGAAAGCCACTACGCCCACGCAAGTCATATACATACATAATTTCAATAAAATAGCGTATGGTAAATAACGTTCTCTTTTTAATCATTTACTTTGTCGTAACCTACTGATCCGCAGGAAAACCTCACAGCCTTGAATTTACTAGTTAATTTAAGATGTAAATCCATTAGTGCAAAATGAACTAATTGGTACCAAGGGAACTGACGGGGCATTATGAAAACATAGCAGATTAATTTGAATTACATATGTGTGCACGGCACGATTCCGATTACTTTGGCGGAGGAGTAAAAAAAGCCGAATTTCCGTGTAAATGGGGTATGTCCGGATAGGGGAGCTTCTCCAGAGGAGGAATATCAAAAAATAATAAACTACTTATATTTTTTAAATATTCACGATGAAAAGTTCAAAAATATGCATTAATAACACAAGGTATTTCTCTATCTTCCATTAAATTTAGTCACGTTTTTCACTCTGTATATTTAAATATACACTCTAAACATTGAAATAAGTTCACATTTCAATTCTATTTTGTAATATTTCACCTAAATTTATTAATTTAAAAATCACTTAGCGAACTCGTCGTTGCACAGGTTAGATTGTTTACAATTATGAGGAAAACGAGCGTTACCACATCTTAAACACCAAATATGTAGGATTCTTAACGATTTTTTTTTTTTTTTTTTTCTCTTTTTTTTTTTGCGTGATTCTTTTTTAACATTAATTATAATAAAAAATACTTTCTAACAGTTTTTAAGTTATAATTGAGTTCGCGGCCGCGCTTTAAAAAAATAACCCTGGCCGAGCGAATACCCGGGGGGACTTTCGCGGAGTACTCCTTTCTGCGTTAAAAATAAAAAAAATATATTGAGTTTTTGTTATAAAGTGGTTATATTTGTAGGTTACCATGGACTCATATTGAAATAAAATTTTAATTTTCGTTATAAAATGGATAAAATTTTGTTTTATATCTGTCAGCGATTTCCGTTTATTTTTGATTGTACATTGTTTTGTATTTTAGGTGACATACATCAATTTTTATATTTAAAATATGAGTTTCGGATATAAAGTGGTTATATTTGTTGGTTACCATGCACTCTTATTGAAATAAAATTTGAATTTTCGCACTGTACTAATATACTTTACACTTTATTACGTAATATTATTATATATTACTTATATTATTATTTAATATTACTAATATAATATTACTTATTTGCTTAATAAATTTAAAAAAGAAAATAATTTTTAAAATGCAGATCTTTTAGGTAAAAAACCTGCTAAAAGTGTAAGATATGGAGTTATTTACAAGTTTATAGTGTAATTTAATTAATTTGAAGTGAAAGATGTGAATAAACTGTATTTAATGTGGTGAAATAGCGTCTTGAAATGTGCGAATTTTTGAACTTTAAGGTCGAATATCTCCAAAACTAAGCGTTTGCGGTACCTATAACTCTCTATATTTTTTGATCAGGAGGTTGGAATCTTTCCAACGGTACCTTCAGATCGCGGCGCCAAAGAAATCGGAATTGTGCCTAAAAGTATTTTCGTATTTCTAATCAAACTAATTTTTGTATATTTTTAATAACAAATAAATAAGGAAATATGTAAAATTTTCATTTAATTTTTGGCTTGAGTGGCATTGTTCACTTTCAAAAATTTCAAAATATAGCAGATTTCTTCATTATTTTTACTCACTTTTGAACAGCTGTGACTTTTTCAATTTCCCCAAATTTATTTTTTTAGTAAAATGAAGATTAAAATCTCACCTTTCCAACACTATATGGTATGACACAATGTGAGCAGCAATGGAGATACATGTGTATACGACTGCAATGACTTACTTCTATTGACAAAATACAAAAATACTCTTTCGACTACCCAACGTACATTGTACATACATACATATGTATGTATATACATGTATAACAAAAAGAAAGTGTTTTAGGTGGATCCGATGGTTCTTTCTTTTTGACCGCATATGTATGTATAGTATATATTGTATTATTGGAATGGGCACGATTCCGATTACTTTGGCGGAGGGGTAAAAAAACCGAATTTCCGTAGAAATGGGGTATGTACGGATAGGGTAGCTTCTCCAGAGGAGGAATATCTAAATTCAAAAATTTGCACTATGAACTCATGTTATTTCTCTGTTTCACTAAACTTTTTCACGTTTTTTTATATGTACATATGTATATATAAATATAATACACACTGTAAGCATTGAAATAAGCTCATATTTCACATTTATTTTGTAATTTTTCAGCTAAATTTAGTAATTTAAAAATCACTTATCAAATTTATGGCTGATAAGTTTAGAGTGTTTATATTTATGAGGAAAACCAGCTTTGCCACACATTAAAAACCAAAAGTGAGGGATTTTTCAGCTTTTCACAGCGTTTTCTTTGTTTGTTTTTTCGAGTGATTCTTTTTTCTTTATTAGTTATAAAAAAACGATTAAGAAGATTTTACATTTACATATATACATGAATATATAATAGAGTTGGTGGTTATCATGCACTCATTCCATTTATTTTTGATGATACATTGTTTTGTATTTTAGGTGACGATACATATATTTTTATATTAAAAATTAAAGATTTCGTTCTGTACTTGTATTCTTTACACTTTATTACGTAATATTATTATATAATGAGAAAAAGAGGAATTTCAGCGAATTGCCTTATTATCATATGGCAGCGCTCCATTTCGTCGTAATTTTTGGTAAATAAATGAGGTTTAAACGAGTGTAAAATGTAATTTTTAAAATAACGATTTTTTAGGTAAAAAAAGCCTACTAAAAGTGTAGAATGTGGATTTATTTAAAAAAAGTGTATAGTGTATTTTAAATAATTTGAAGTGAAAAATGTGCATAAAGTCTGTTCAATGTGGTGAAATAGCTTATTGAAATGTTCGAATTTTTGAAATTTAAGGACGAATATCTCGTAAACTAAGCATTTGCGGTGCCTATAAACCTGCATATTTTCCAATCAGGAGGACTTCCTATTTCCATCGGTACCTTTAAATCGCGGCGCCAAATAAATTGGATAAAATTTCAATTCTTGTGTAGCTATTGCAATATACATATATATATGTATGTAGGTATAAGTTATGCGCGGAACACAATGCTCGCGACAGACTGCAGCAGCACGACAGTGAACTGAAAACGGCGTTGTGAATCCTGCTACATGAACGTTTGTGAGAGGGCAGCAACATAACAATGGCCGGCATGTACACAAAACAACGCAGTTGTCCATTTTGCATGTACACAATTTCGTTGCGGCCATACTAATACCTTGCATTTCAATGAATAACTTAACTGCTTCCCCCGGCGGGTACTGCGTCGAATACTTTCAGATCTCGAGTGTTTTCGTCCATCCGGACAACATGACCTAGCCAGCATAGACGCTGTCTTTTAATTCGCTGAACTATGTCAATGTCGTCGTATATCTCGTACAGCTCATCGTTCCATCGAATGCGATATTCGCCGTGGCCAATTGCTTCACAATTGCCTACTCAGTCCGAAGTAGCACCTGTTGGCAAGAGTTCTCCCGTGTTAGATTTCTAGGCTGACATTGTTGGTGGTGTTTACGCTGGTTCCAAGATAGACGAAATTATCTACRACTTCAAAGYTATGACTGTCAACAGTGACGTGAGTGCCAAGACGCGAGTGCGACGACTGTTTGTTTGATGACAGGAGATATTTCGTCTTGCCCTCGTTCACTGCCAGACCCATTTGTATTTCTTCCTTGTCCAGTCTGGAGAAAGCAGAACTAACGGCGCGGGTGTTGACCCCAATGATATCAATATAATCAGCATACGCCAGCAGCTGTACACTCTTATAGAAGACGGTACCTTCTCTATTTAGTTCTGCAGCTTGAACTATTTTCTCCAGAAGCAGGTTGAAAAAGTCGCACGTAAAGGAATCGCCTTGTCTGAAACCTCGTTTGGTATCGAACGGCTCGGAGAGATCCTTCCCGATTCTGACGGAGCTTTTGGTGCTGCTCAACGTCAGCTTACACAGCCGTATAAGTTTTGCAGGGATAACAAATTCAGACATCGCGGCATAAAGGCAGCTCCTTTTCGTGCTGTCGAAAGCAGCTTTGAAATCGACGAAGAGGTGGTGAGTGTCGATTCTCCTTTCTGATTGGTGGTTTTTCAATCCGGAGACAACCAGGTAGCTTGATGTATCTTCTTATGCTGGAATCTAGTACTACAGATGACCTTCGGGCCCCGGCGAAGTCGATCAGCCTCAACCCATTTGGGGATTTTTCCTCGTGGAGGCTGAATTTACCGACCGTAGTGCCAAAGA